ATCCAAACCATTCTATGATTCTATGACAGCACAAGCTGTCGACTTGTGCTCTGGGTCTGGACGTGCTGGTCCAGCATTTAATCTGCTCTGTCACTTCAAGTCATCTGCTGATGCCAAGGGATTTTTGGGTTTGGTTTTGTTGGGTTTTTTTTCTCCAGACCTTCCATAGATTTCTGTACCTGTCAAGTCCCCAGAGTTGGAATTTAATACACTTTTAAGCTTGTCTTAGTTAGAATAGGAACAGTATTTCTGGATCAGCAGGTGTAATTCAACATTTGTCCTCCCCACAAGAAGGACATTTTGAATGGGAGTCTTCTTGGACACCATTCAGGACTGTGACACTTTCTCCTCCAAAATAAAGAGTTTCTTTAAATTTTCTTAATGAACATCTCTGTTTTCTCCTCTTTCTCACCCCAGACCTATTATTCTGTATTCCAAGTTTTTGGAGAGGTAGGAAACGAATGTCTCGTGCATCGGTTGCTGTGCTGTGTCACATCAGGAAGCTCAGGAACAGATATTCATGACGCCTTTTTGCTTACTCTCCTGTTCTAATAATACCTCTTGCAGGCAAGATATTCAATTAGGAATCCACCTTAACAAAGTCAATCTGGGTCATCCAAGTGACTCCCTCTGAAGTTGCTCAATGAATCACTTGGAAAGGGTGAATTTCACAGGGTGTTAACAGGTCAGTGCGTAGCCAGCAAGCAATTTTCTATCAGATGGCTTAGTCCTAAATTAGGACTTTTCTTAATTATGTCCCTGTTGTGATGTTTCAACTTCATTCTCTTTGTGAAGCTTCATATTCTCTGAAAGTTTCATTATTCTCATTTCTCCCCTCAGGACCAAGGAAAAGGAGTCTCCTTGTCTTCCTTCCTGCTTCGCTTTGGAGTCTTAAACTGGGAACTGGGCTTGTTGAGCCTGGAGAAAAGGAGGCTGAGGGGAGACCTTGTGGCTCTGTGCAAGTCCCTTGGAGGAGGGTGGAGAGAGGTGGGGGTGGGTCTGTTCAACCAAGGACCAAGGGACAGGACAAGAGGAAATGGGCTGAAGTTGTGGCCAGGGCAGTTGAGATGGGATGTGAGGAAGAATTCCTTTCCTGAAAGGACAGAGGGCAATGGGTGTGAGCTGGAACACAGGAGGTTCTGCTTAAACTTGGGAAGAAACTTCTTTACAGTGAGGGTGACAGAGCCCTGGGACAGGCTGCCCAGGGAGGGTGTGGAGTCTCCTTCTCTGGAGACATTCAAGACCCGCCTGGACACCTTCCTGTGTGATCTCATTTAGGTTCCTGCTCTGGCAGGGGG